TACAGTAGTGGTCCACTCTAGGGGCCAACCTGTGCAGTGATCCGTTAAGCACATGGTCCCTCAACCGAATGGCTAGAATACCTAGATTATCAGAATAGCGACACACGAGTCATCGCCGCCATGTTCTGTCGACTGTCATTGCGTGACCTCTGAGTTTACATTAAGAAATGACCATTATTTCAGTTTAATAAAGGTGTCGATTCACCCATCCGTCATATTCTTGAATAAAAAACGAATAAAATGCATCTTTTTAATTAAAAAAAAAATGAATAAAATGCATCTGTCACATTTTAGAATAAAAAAACGAATAGAATGCAATCTGCCATTAAAAAAGATTTTTCTAAATTTTCTGTCTCAAAATAGGGGTGCGTCTTATACTCGACAGCGAGTTATACTCGTCAAAATATGGTATATTTTAATTAAATTTATATAAAACTTATATATAACATTATATATTCACTTAATATCCATTATATTGTAACAAAAAGTTAGAGTCAAAAAACAATCAGAAATGTTTTTTGAGATAGATTCAACATCTTCAAAATCAAACAAAAATATTTAAAATACAAAATTCTGCAACTTGTGTCACTTATATCACTACTACAGATGACCGAATCTCATAAGAGATGACTCCTTGGACCAGCATGCCAGCAGTGAGGGCAGTGTGTCACTCAACACAGGCAGGATTGAAATGCTAACCACTTATCCTTCACAATAAAAGTTAGTGATGAAAGTGCAGAAGTGTGAGGAAGAGGATTGCATGAAATATTAGTATTTGAAATTTACCAGAAATTAATATAGTATCTGATGTCTTTCATTTTCCTACTCTGAGCACAAAGACCTTTTTTCATTATGCCCATCATGTGTTCAACCAGACCAAAAAGGCGTAAAAATAAAATGTCCACAAAACCTTTATCTCCAATTGAAAATTTTTTTTATTAGCGACTAATGTTTTTGATCTTAAATAGATCATCTTCAGGTCTGAAAACACAATCAAATCAAAATGCGAAATAGAACATACTAGTTTAAAAAACTTGGAATCACCAATACACAAATACATAATGTATTAGATATAAAATAAAAACAAAATATCAGCAATGATTTTTAAAAATTGCTAAAACTTAAAAATTTTTATTTAGAATTAAATATAATGCATGGCTATAATCTGCATTTATAATCCATGTTTATTGTTAAGTAATAATTGTTTTTCACATAAATATTGCCATGCTTTAGATAGAGGCTGTTATTCTTTAAAGTTGATGTTATTTCCTCTTATTACTGATTTATGAATTTCTAGTGCCTCAAGAATTCAGATATGTTCTATGTTGTGGTATTGTTCGATAATACATGCGATGTCAAAGTCTACTTCTAAATTCTGTTCAGAGGCAAACATGGCAAAGGTGGTGGTTACCTTTTTTACTTAATGTCATATCTGTGTTCATGTAGGCACTTATGGAGTGAGCATCTAGTAGCACTGATGTATTTGAGGTGTCCATTGCATCTATTGTCTATCACTAGTACTTTATAAACTCCTGGAGCTCTGCATACGTCTCTGTCTTTCCCATTGCACAGCATTTTGTAAATAGTAGGCAGGTGTTTATATGCTAATATCTGTTTTTTCTTGTTTGCTATTTCTCTGTATATATAGTAGAACCTTGATTATCTGGATTGTTCAAAATAAAAATTTTATAAATTTGCTGATTTGCACTTGGTGAATTACGCTACTGTTTATGTATGTGATGGAATGCATAACTTTTTTTTGTTTCAACAACGTTCACCCAGCACAGTGGCCGTAAACTCAAATATATTTTGCTTCGTAATAAAAATATAACTTGATATATGTATTTATAAATAACTTATTTTCAAATTACATCATTTCTATGACCAAGGGTGGTATAAGGCATGTGCAATGTGGGCCACCACCTATGCCTTGCATTTTGAAGGTATATGCATTACTTAAAAGCCGCAAACGTGACAAAAAAATTTTACTCGTCATAACAATAAATAGTTTGTCAAATTTTTATTCATAAAAATGCAGTTTCAACTGCTTTTTATTTTATAAAATCCATCTTCTTGAGCTACCAGAGGGCCTTTTAAACAATAGGTAGTCTGTTAGCGTTGCTTAGTAGTAGTCCAAATTCAATACAAATGTTTGTTTCTTGAAAATTTGACCACAGTTTAAATATAGTATTTACTTTTAATATTACCGATATGTCATCGAAAAGAAAACATGTTGTATTATCATTAAAAGACAAATTAAAGTACTTGTTTTGATTATCTGAATTTTTCCTTATCCGGACTACCTTCATCCCCAATTAGTCCGGATAATCGAGGTTCTACTATACTATGTAATGCATGGTTGTAATCTGCTATTAGATAATCATTATTAGTGTTATTACTAGATCGAGTGTTATTAGAGTGAGGATGTGACTGATTAATATAGAACAGCTTAGCCAGCTTATGTATTAAAGTTTTTCAATATCTGTGCTGCATGGCTATTGTTGTAAGCCATTGTAGTTTTTATTAGTGTCCTCCTTACTGCTACAATTGTAAACATTCTTTTACCAAATGCACTAAAAGCTGCTATTTTATATGTAAAGGAATTGCATGATGTCACAGGGATAAATACAGTTAAGTAGCTTTGTTTATAAAATATGTTAGTTTGTATGCAACTATTTATAAGATGGATTGTATATCTAAAAAATTTCCCTCCTATATTGCTTGCTTAATCTTTCTTTAACCTTAATCATTATGGGTTATTATTGACCTGCTGTAAAAAAAAATTGATGTCTGGTTGCTCTTTCCAAATTATTAGTAGGTCATCAACGTATCTTATTAAATAATGTATTTACAAGATGTTAGAGTAAGTTTTGTTTATTAAATAATGTATGGTACAATAGAGGGTAATAGTAATTGCTCTAACTAGCATATGATTAATTTACGTAAGTCTCCTGATAGGGGGCTGCCCATACAGAAATTCTGTAAGACTGACTATCTCTATTGGGTTTTTTACAGTGTACTTGTAATCCTGTAATGACTCATTAGTGATTATCTAGATAATCATTATTAGTGTTACAAGTACACTGTAAAAAACCCAATAGAGATAGTCATAGTCTTACATCATTTCCAATGGATGGGTAATGCCTCTTTTATTACTGTTTTTGATTCCCTTTATCCATCTGTTAAAATAGAACCATGTTTTTGCTCTTCATGTTATATTATTAAAAACAGCAGGGGATTCCAAGCACCACTAACATGTTTTAGAGCTCACGCACATGATGTGCTACACATCATTTTTTCAGTATAATAACTGCTTATTTTTACAAAAGCAAAGAGTCCCTATGGGCAGCCTGCTATTGGGCAACTTATGCAAATTAATCATATGCCAGTTAGAGCAATTAATATTATCCTCTATCCTACCAGACATTTTAATATAAAAGATACATCAATGACATACTAATAATTTGGAAAGAGCAACCAGTAATTTCGTGTTCTAATTCAGTTGTGTATTCAGACCTGATGATGGTGATTATCTGTTTAAGATCGAAAACGTTAAGTTGCTAATACAAAACTTTTCAATTGGAGATAAAAAAAACTTTCACAAAACCTTTGTATTACAATTAGACCCAGTTCATTTATATTACTAAAGAATTATTCACAAAGGAATACCAGGCAACAAGGTATGGGACCTAATATTTCCAAAATGAACCCAAGAAAAATTCCTGGGTTTGTCCATCCAGACTTAATCCTGGACCTCTTAGAGCAGCTGACCAATGCTTTTACTGTCTTAATCTTCCAAATATAAGCTGCATCAGATTAATGTGACGACATATTAAAGACAGTTTTGCATTGTATTAAACTGTGTTGTAACAGTAATTAATAAATCATGCAATTCTAATTTTTTCTCTATTTACATGTGCTTCTACATTAATAATAGTTGATATAATTATCAATACAAAGGATTTTTTGTGTGTGTGTTAACTGAATATAATTTAATAAAAAAGAACAAAGTTCGAAGTTTCTCAACTTATCTTATATGGCAACAGTTTCTTTTTTAAATAAAATATTCTGAAAACTAATGTTAACTTATTCAAATTTATTTGCAAATATAATTTGAATTATTTTATTAATATACATTTATTCTTTTTCATTTTTCTATTGACAGAAGTATTTCTGATAATTAAAAAAATTAATAATTTTAAAAATTCTAAAAAATTATTGTAATATAAAAAATATATTAATTCAATTGAAAATCTAATCTTTGATGATAAATCAATAAAATATTTATATAACCGAATGAGTTAAGTAAATATTAGATTATGTAGAAACATTAATCTTAAAAATATTTAAAAATTCTATCATCATCATCGACAGATACAACAGGAGGGCTGTAAGTTCTCCCTCCCCACTGAATCCAAAAAAAAATTTATTTGTTTAAATTTCAAAACATCATTAAAAACCTTTATGGTAAATGTAATTTATTGACATCCACAACACAATGTTAGTGCAATCATCATCCACAAAATATTAATAAAAAAAGGGTACTTATTTTTCAAAATTTTTCATCTTTAAATTGGTCCCCCTTTAAGTCCTCCTGGATTCACCACTGATTATCATTAAGTTCAAACAGATTAAAATATCTTATTAACACATACAAAGCAGGATTTTTTTATATTAACTATTATACTAAAATTTGGCTTCCAACTAATATATTTCAGCATAAAAAAAAATACCAAAACTAAAAAAAAGCATTTCAAAACACTGACAAAATTTCTTTATTCAAATTTGTATAATCATATTTATAAAAATAAACTTTTATTTAAGTTATTTTTAGGACTGCTATCAAAACAACTAAAACAAAAACTAAAGCTATTTTTCATACAATTCAGTTTATTACATAATTTGGTGCTAAAGATACACTAGTGACAAATTCTAGCCATTAAATTTATTACAAAATATTGTATCTTGTAATAATTTAATAGTTATAATTGAATTAAATAATTTAAAACAAATAGGGAAAAAAAAGATTCAGAACAGGATTTAATCTAGTGCAGGTTTGAGTCCTATTCTTATGATAAGAATTTAATATGTTAAAAATGTCTAATTTAATACAAGATGACAACATTGTTTACATTATTTATTAAATAATTTGACATTAAAATTGAATTAAATTACATTATTTTTTACATTATATGTTTTTTTGGTTATCACATATCACAATTACATATCAGATTATTATTATTGTTATTATTATTAATTATTATATCAGATAATCAAATGAAAAGTTGACTTGAAAGGAGAACATAGAGTTTGGCAATTCAATAGTCAGATTTGAAAATGCTATGAGCCAGTGACTGATTGGATTCAATGAGATGTGATGACAAAGTGTAGTAGTAATAATAAAGCTATTACTATTATTAAATTAAGTGTTGTAACAACTGGATATGCCTTATAATTCATAGAATATTTTTACAGTAGAGAGTTACATAAGGAGAAGTTACTAAAGATTAAGACAACTGAATTATCTGTGCCTACAAAAGATTTTTGTTTACAAACCTCTTAATAAAGGATAGTTCATGGAATCTAAATAATAATAAAAGAAGTTTGTCAAAGTTATCTAAGAATACTTAAGGATCTAAGACTTGAAGGTTTCAGATATATTGCTTCTACAGCATACATTTCAAGAGACTGGATTATTGTATAATTCTGTTCAAACAGGTATGAAAAGAATCAAATTTTGATCTTATAAAATAAAAATGCCATGCATAACCTTAAAGTTTTGATTATCCCTAGAATCTGTAGTAAATAAACTTTCAAAATTTAATTCTTCTTGTGACATTACCACTATGATACATGGCTGCATAAGCATTGTTGGTTCATGACACTATCAAATTAGACTTGCAGCATTGCTAAACTTCTTGTTCTACTTTGAAAGGAAATTTTGTTTAACCTGAACATACTATCGAAGTAATGATTTAAAATTTATTAAAATCAAGAAATTAATTAAATATGACTAGTTACATGCTAAATTTGAATAAGATAGTAAATGGTTTAATTAAACAAATGAAATGTCATTCAGTAATTCTGAACTTAAGTTCCGAGATCACTTATCCCAAACTCCAGTTAGCTTGAGCAGGGCATCAAAGAATTAAAAAAGATTGGTCAATTTTATATTTTATCTATTGTAGTAAATTTAAAATTAAAATGGTGATGTGCAAAAATTGGTCATAAAAATATTTTAAATACATTTTATAATTTTTGAAAAAGCCATTGAAATCTAATTGTTTAAATAGCAATTTATTTTTACAAAATTGAATTTATTAAAATTATATAAAACTCTTTAAAAATTCCCCAAACCCTGTTTAACTTACAGGACTTGAGGTTAATGGTAGGCCTGTTTTCTGATGAAAAACCATGCATGTTGCACTGTCAAGGGATCTTCTAAATTGAGCTTTTTGATCAGCTGATGGAACTAGATGATTCTTTCGATCCAAATCATTCTAATCAAAAAACATTACAATAAATTCAATCTTTCAAAGCTTTATACTCTTGAATTCATATTTTAAAAAATGTTTTAAAGTTAAACCTAATTAAATCATTCAAATTTTTAAAAATTGTATATACTAATGTTTAATTGTTTAGTCATCATGTGCTCAAATTCATTAAAAAAATGAAATGATGTATCATAATAAAAAAAATAAAAGCTATACTACTTTTTTAAACAAACATCAATACTTCTGCTTAATGCTTGTTTAAATAATAGTAATATTTATTTAAAAAAACACTAATACTTTTCTGAACTGTTCTGTAAAATGCTTAATTTAAGAAATTTTTTTATTCGTTTCATAAAATCCTTATTTACTAATAAAATTTCTTAAAATTTTGTTGAAAATATATTTACAATGAATTTGCTATTTATATCTGGTACTCATCAATAATTAATATGCAAAATATGTATAATAAAAAAAATGAAAGAACCATTAATGGCACTCAATTTTACTTAACCAATTAAAAATTAAGCAAAATTAAATTCCATTAATAAAATTATTGCAATCAATCCTATTATTAAAGAATGATAACTATTTTAATTTAAATTAATAGACTCAATTTTTACATGAAAAACTAAACATTATGAAAAGACTCAAAGGCTGAGCTGAATATGTCAACTTTTTGCTACAGTCTCCATCACTAGGTTCTCCATTACAGTGTGTCGAAAACAATTGACAAAAAAAAAATATACAATTCATACTGAAGATTTAATTGAAAGAAATACATTATGTAGAAAAAGTAAATAAATATGCCAATAGTCTCATAGCTTAAAAATATAAAAGCAAGCTGTGAGACAGACAGTAAAAGAAGAGCTTCACATGAACTGCAGCTCTAATTGAAAGAATTTTTTTAGAGAGAATTTTCAGAATATATCTGATATTCTAAATTATGACAATTCCCAGACCTATCGATCTGAAAATCAAATGATAATCACCAATTTGAATCTTTCTTCATAAAATACGACACATCTTTTAATATAAAATCTTCAAAATGCTGATTGGAGGGAAAAGAATGGCTACTTTAATACAATGTAGAAAGTTATTGCTAACTTACAATTTATAGACAGAAGAATATTGTCATTTATCAATTGGCATTCATTTATGTATTATTAGGAAATTTTCAATGTGTCAAAATCAAATGTTTGTGAATGTTCACATCAACATTTCTGCCTGCATACAATGAAATAAATGCAATTTTCCAGAAAAGTCATTATTTCTGATAATCTATTCAAACTACAATTCTGATTTAGTTTCATTTAACTTTCTATATCAAAAAGAAACTACACACATTTTTCTGAATACAGAAGCAGCTGTTATTACTAGCAATAAAGTCAAGAACTAGCTCGACGTTTTAAAATTTCTTGTATATGAGAAACAGTACCTATACTCCAAACATAAATCCACACCTTTGACTTTCCAGCAAAATCAACATAATTACTGATATTTTTACCTATATTAACAATCTTACATTAAAAATCTTCAGGAAATTTCAGCCATAATCTTTGAACACAAACAGAAAAACAACAAATGCTTAAGATGGATGAATCTTGTTCTTAAGTTTTAGTGCATTATATTTTTAAATACAGCTGTTACTCTTGTCTTCAATTTCTTTGACCAGATTGGATAAGAAACCCTATCAAGCTTTTCTTAAAAATTTTATTATATTTTTAAGTTATAGTTAAATATATATAATTAATGCTTTTGTATCAAATTAAAATTTTTGTTTCTATTGTGACTTTTAGAATTCTTGCTAAGACAATCTGTAAATAAATATGAATTTATAATAAAACTTAATTCACAAAAAAAAATAAAAAATAAATAAAAAAAATCTGAAGTGAATATTGAGTTAACAATGAGAGCCTCTAGCAAACTTTTGTTTTCTTTATATGCTGGCATTTGAACATTTTGACTTTCCTAACAGATTCACTAATGAAAAATATTCATCAGAATTTGACTTCTCCAGGTAAGAAAAGCAAGATTTGAAGCATAGTAGCTATGAAGATTACATGTTCCAAATATATTCTTATTATTGTAGTTTTTCCCTTTCTTTCAAACAATGCATTTTAGTAGCTTGCATAAAAAACTCAATGTTAGCAGTAACTACAAGGGAATTATTTAAAAACTCAAGGAACCAAAAAACATGGTTTCCATTTATCTAAAGTTTTTTTGAACAGAAGTGTTCTGTAATTCTTGAATAAAATTGACATTATTTTAAATAATTTGACCTGTTTGTTTACAAATGCTTTAATATTACAAGTTATTACTTAGTAATTTAAGTTACTTTGAAAAAAATCAGTTGGCATGTTCTTAATGAAAATGTAATCAAATTACATTCAAAGCAAGACCTGAAAATAATGTATGAAAGAAGCATAAGTGCTTCAAAACTACCAAGAATTTCATCTTGAGTTTGAGATTATGAAAATTATCTGATCTGATGAAAACAAGCTCTGTTTACAGCTAAAGCTATAAGTATGCATTTGTCATGAATACATGAGTATTTAACGGTCAGTTTTTTCCCCTGCATTAATCAGATCTGTGTCTTGTTCATCTTCCAAAAGATATGGCCCTGATATCATCCAATTAGCTAAATCTCCAAACTGACACTTGAATTGTACCTAACATATTAATATGACTAATCATTTCAAAAAATTCAGCACTAGAAAAAAAAATTCCAGTACCAGGTACAGCTGTAACAGCTGAGCCTGGTGCTGCACTTTTTTTTTCTAATGACAAATCTTTTGAAATGCTTAGAGGGAGTCATATTGATCTGACTATGTTAGGTGCAATGCAAGTGTCACAGTTTGGAGATTTAGTTAATTCGATGATACAAGGACCATACCTTTGGAAGGTATTTAACGGCCTTTGAAATTAATTATTGAAACAACAGATTTTTGCAAATAATGTCCAAAATAATTAAATGCCAAACAGATTTCTTCCATAAAAATAAAATTCTCTCTTCATTAGCGATGTGTACAATGTCTGAATGATCTTAAATGGTTGTCCAATAAATTAACAATGTATAATTGATAAAACCAAAACTGCTACTTGGGCATGAAAACATTCTTATAAACATAATATTATGGAAGATTTCAAATTAAATAATATTTTTGTAGGTCACTGGAGCAGATAATGACTTCTAATTTCATTGTATGCATATTTCAAGTTATCTGAACTAAAATTTATGCAAAATCCTATTCTCTTGGCCAGGGACTAGACTTTACTTTGAATTACACAATACTTCAAATTATCTGATATCAAAATAATGATGTTTTACTGTATTTTGTTTCAGGATGTTAGTCTTCACTTGTGTTTGAATTTCAGTTCATTCAATTTCTTGAAACAGCAGAGAACACTGAATTTACTAATTAAAAGTAAATTACTTTCATTCCAGTTTCAATACTAGAAATGTCTATGTACTAAGTTAAAAAGTGGAGATCAAAGGATAAGATATTTTGTTTGCTCAAGATTTTTGCTTTTATATAGAATAATAATTTCTTCCAAGTCACTAAATTACTTTGAAAAGATTGTTGTTTCAATATATCAAGTCCAACGAACCAACTCTAAATTTTTAGAAATTAGTTACATTTTAAAATCAAATTAGTGCTTTACTATTCTTTTGCTTAGCATTGAAATATCAATTCAGTCTGAAAATTATGAAAATATTGTAAAGAAAACAATTTGACTATATTTTTTGGTTTCTGTAAATGAAATATTGCAATTTTTAACTTTTTACTAATTTATTGTTGCTAATTTTATAGTTTAAAATATTATTCTTTGCTTAGTTTTTGTGAAATTTGATTAATAATAATATTTTCACACTGATGATGTGATAATATTGTACAGTGGGGGATTGGTTAACGAACAGTTCAGATAGCGAACAAATCGGATAACTAACACTTTTGCAAAAGATTTTTATGATCAGACAACGAACACTTGTTTGCATAATGAACACTTTACTGAACAAACAAAAAAGAAGCAACAGAAAATAATGAATACTGATTGATTTTCCCATGTCTTCAAGGTAACAATTCAAAACCTTTTGGAGCACAGGAGACGTCAACAGCAATGCTATCAGATTGATAGTATTCCTCCAAATTTTGAAACTCTCCCTTGTAATTCTTGCTTTTTGTTTACCTTTCTGACAATTTTTTTATAGTCTTCATGAGACTGTCGGATGGGCACTTTTTAAGTTTTGCATCGGGGTTTATTTACGAAAAATGAAAGTTTAACTGTTTAATACTGAAATTCAAATTTCATCAAGGCCTTGCATTTAAATAACTTTTGTGGTCTAGTTGATTTCTGTTCTCTGAATTTTTGTAAGTACTTTTCTGAATTTATTTAAAAAAGAAACTAGTAATATTATGGAGCCTAAAAAGAGGAGTGTCAAGAATTGTGCTCACCGTAGAAACCAAGTAACAGATAATAGCCAAGGTAGAAAGTGGACACAAGATGTTTGATGTTGCTAGGCAGTATGGCTTGAACAGGTCTACAGAAGGCACAATCTTAGCTATTAAAGCTATATCAAGAAGTCGCAAGCTGCTAATGGAGTAATGAAAATCACATCTGAGAAATAAAGAGCATTTTAGAACTCATAATGGAACCTGAAACTGATCTGACGACAGAAGAACTCCAAGAACTCTCAAATGAACAACATCAAGAAACTCATTGAGATGTGTTTTCTTTTGAAAATGAGGAAGACAAAAGAGGACCAATGTCAACATCTGCTATTAAAGATCTTTTGTAGTAGTAGGAGGACGTCAGAACAACAATCATCCAAGTGGCATCCAAACCAGAATAAGGTTAATGGTGTTGGGGATCACTACAATTACAATACTATTAATTACTTCTGAAAAATCCTGAAGAAAAGAGAAAAGTAAAGTAATCGACATTGGACAAATTCTTAAACCCCCACAAACAGGAAAAACATGACTAATAAAAATGCAAGACTGCATATATATGTATTTTTACTATTACATGTAAATAAATGTAGTAAAAAAGTATATATTTTTTATTTTTTGGAGTCTCCAGAACAAATTAATCGAATTCCCATAAAAACCTATGGTAAATCGATAATCAGTTAACAAACAATTTGGATAACAGACAAAGTTTTGGAACGGATTATGTTCGTTAACTGATCACCCACTGCATATGTAAAGATTATGTGGGATTTCAAACCAAACACTTCAAAATTTTAAAGTATTTAAAAAAAAGTCTCATCTACTCATCTGATAAATTTTAAGTCTTGAATACTTTAATTTTTTAAACTGTACTGGACAGACAAAGATGTACAAGATAATTTTTTTCAAATATTAGTTTCTTTAATATTTGAATTTAAATCCTAAAAACATGATCTATTATTAGTCACAGTAAAAACCTAAGTAGTTTTAACCACAAAGAATCTGGAGTGTTGGTATGTTTAAATCTCATTTTTTTCACAAGAATGAAAATATTCACTTCACAATTTCCAAGTTTGCAAAAATATTCAGCTATTATAAATTTTAAATTAACTTCTTAAATATTTCACTTATTACATGCATTTTTCAATAGTTGCTTTAGCAAGAAATTCTATATAGTCTCTAGTTAAAAGGTAAAGTGCTTTACTCAAATATATCACTCACTTTGAATTCTATTTGTTTGACAATTGTTATTTTCACTATTACATTAAATAAGTTTTTTGATTTGCCACTAGTCAGTTATATCTTAACAGCAATCTTAATTCTCATGTTTCTCAGCTCTAGACTGTTTAATTTAAACAATTTTGCATATTTATTAACTTTTAAAAACTTATGGGGCATAAATTTCAAAAATCACACCTTAAATTTTTCAAATTCCCATAAAAGTTCTATATTATAAAGTTTTAGTTACATGCTGTAGAGCAGATCAAAATTAACTATTTTTGCATTTTTAATTGATCCCTCTTAAGAGGATAACACCTCTGTGACACTACTTCAATATGACTAAGTCAAATAATTTCCCAAAGATTCTGGTTTTTAATAATCAAAACTGTCAACTGAGGCCAACAGTTAATAGATATAAAATAACACATATTACAGCATATGTTTATTCATAATAATTATTTATGAAAGCAAGAAATTAATTTCTTGGAAAAAGATATGTGCTATAACTGATGATAGTTATTTCTGTATAGAGTTCAGCAAATTTCAAGGGGATAACAGCCTCTTCATGAAATTTTGATTAAAAAATTTGTTACGGTATTTCAAATGTCTCTAAATCAATAATATATTCTTTATTTTATTAATCACTGTAAAAACTACTTTCATAGGGGTTTCATTCAAATCAGAAAATGTTTCTATATATAAAACTAAAATAATTGCTTTATATAATGAATGATGTTTGAATAAACTCCCAAAAAGAATCAATAAGAAAGAAAAAAAAAATACAATTTATTTTCTAATGCTCTACAACATATTACAAGTCATCAAAAACTGAAGGCAGATATTTAAGTAAATGTTTCTTATAATCCAAGCACTAATAATTTTAATCATAATATACCAAATACAATTTTAAGTTTTATAATTTTGAATGATAAGATTTAAGGTTTTGAAACTGATTAAATTGTTTAAATTTTAATAGTAGCCTGATAAAACTGAGATTTATCTGAATGGACTTAAAAATTAAATATGTTTCAGAATATAGTTCAAATAAATGTAAACTTAAAAATAAATTATATCAATAATATTTGATATTGATATTATTTGTTGCAATAAAAAGTTTACCTCTTTTGCTAATGCTCCTGCTCTTAATAAATTTTGCACAAGAGAAGATTTTTGTCCTCCATATCCTAAGCCAGAAATCCAACTTTTATTTTGACACACGTTTTGAAAACAATCACTTTTGTTATTAAAATTTTGATTTGTAGACATTTTATTCAATTCTTCTTGATATGTTTGAATATCTACATTATTATTAATTATTGAATCAGAAGTTATACAAACAGTTTTAAAATTTTCATTTCCTGAATCTCTCATATCATTGTTGCTAACACATTTGATTCTTTTTTCTTCTGACTTTACATTACTTATTGAATGAGCATTGTTAACTGAAGGCACAGAATTTAATTGGTCTGAAATGTCTGAATTCAATTTTGTAGAAAGAAAGGAACTTTCAAATTCATTTTCAGTTGCTATATTTTTTTGTATTTTACATTCCTCAGTAAATTTGGCTAATTTACTTTTAATTTGAGTTGTTTTTGAGTGTTTCTGATTTAAAGTTCTTTCCATAGTTTCATTTAATGATAAATATTTTTGCTTTGAGCTACAAGGTATATCTGTCCTTTGAGGAATGATGTTAAATACTGATGGTTTTTCTGTTTGAAATGGTATCTGTGAAGTATTTGTGGAATGCTTTGTGCCTGGACACCTTTGTCTCAGTCTGTTTAAAACATGTTGCATTTCTTCTAATGGTATAGAAGTGTCATTACCATTACATACATAATTGCATACTTCCATATTATTCTGGTCCAGTTTTAATTTACTTTTCATACCTTCTAGTCTTTCTGAAGAGGGTAGTGTATGTTTTCCACTAATTTCTTCTTCGCCAATTCTATCATCATCATTGAAATTTTTCTTTAAAAATCTTTCTATTACAGGTCTTCGTTGTGGTCTGCTTCGTTCTTTACCTTGGGAATGAATTCTGTTTCTTTCAGCTTCTCTTCTTACATTAGCTGCTTTTCCAAACATAAGATGTTCAGGTACTTCAATACTTGGACTTCCACAACGAGAAGGTGATTGATAGCGTTTTGGATACATCTGAAGAGAAGGTGGAGGATCCAAAAGACTTTCACCAAGCATAGAATCAGCTGGACTTTTGTTCTGCATTACCTTTTGTGAGGAGGGTTTAAATGTTGAAGAGAACTGTTCATTAATAATTCCATCTTCTGGACAAAAATCATCATCTCTGCAATTGGCACCACATTCTTCCTCAAGAACAGATTTTATCTTACTTATTGATGGCTTGGGGGACTCAAATCTGTCACACACAACATTATGTTTAAAACATTCAAGTTTTGGTATCTTTCCACATCTTGGATGAGACCTAACTACAACTTTCATTGCATTGCTACGAGCCACATTGGCAATAGGAAAGACATGAAGGTCTGGTTTTGTTGTAAATTTACTTGAGAAAGCTTCTTCTGGAACACATACCCTAAAAAGTTAATTTCACTTATAAAACCAGAATTAATTGAAATTACTTAAATCTATTTAAAGTAAATACCTGTAGTGTATATTCTGTGGTGACTGTCCTCCGGTTAAACTCAACCAAGCACTTAACTGAGAGAAGTGAAGGAATGATCTGACAGCTTGAATAAGACCACGACAACTAATGGTAGCATCTGTTATCCTAAAAAATTTTTGAATAAAAAAAACCATTATTAATTATTCACTGCCAAATATGTAATTACATTTAAGAAATATTACTAATAAGAACTTTATAAAAATATATTGAATTAATTCCTTTAGAACAGGCTAAGTATCACTACAAAAAAATTACATGACATTTCATTATAATTAAATCTGAATAATCATTAATTTAAATCTAGATTTAATTGCTATTATGTAAATAACTATATGCTATTTTTATACATCTGAAAATATCAGTCTTATATTAATCTAAAGATGAGTTTATCAATAATAAAATAGAAATGCAGAACATTAATACAAATTTTATTTTATTAACAAACCATATTGATAAATTATGTCATTAATAATCATATTTTTAAAAATCCAATTCTCTTATGTTTTACTAGCATTGGCTTAAATTTAATTTAATAAGAATTTAATATCTTTCAGTTGTTAAATATTGTAGTTTAATTTAAATTTTTTACATAATATTGATCTAAAATCCATATAAACAATATTTAATTTGATCTTTAATTTAAATAATGACAAATATTTTGTATACCAGTTTCAAATGCTATAATAACCTGAAGATAATATATGGCTGTAAAAGTTAACTAATTCAAATTGTAAAATGGCTGGATGATTGAGGAGGTTATAAAGTCAACCTACTATTCTGGAGATTCAGGAATGGCTCCAGGAAATTGAAAAACCCCACAAATCTTTTGGAGGTTATCTGATTCAGATATGTTGGCTCCCATCCCTCACTTCCTTGGTGTTCCATTATGGGCATTTTTGTACAACACAGTTTAAAAAAAATCAGTTTTATAAATAAAAAGTACATACACAACTTTGTAATCTAGTTAATAATTACTTTGTAATTTGGACTAGCTGGAATTAAACTATTACAAATTTCAACAGTTCACTAATTGGAATTTATACTCAATTTTTTTGAAATAAAAGATGTTTTCATAATAAACAACTAACCACACATTTTAACAATTCCCTAATGATTAAAGTTTACAAAAGGGATATGTATATAACCAGTAATCAGAGATTCAGAAAGTGAAAATAACTATTTGATGTTTTAATTAAAAGAGTATTTTTTAAAGTGAATTGGTCATTTTCCATTCTTGTACATTTTATCAATAATTTTTTAATCTCAATTTTTAACAGATATAAGTAAGTGCAAAATTTTGTTAATTGCATGCATTATTGAAATATGAATTTAATTTAAACTATTATCACAAAATAAAATATGTTGAAATTAATTTACTGTAATTAATTTTGCAAAATAATATTTTGATGTAATGTACTTTGAATTTTCATAAGTGATGGGGAGCATGTTGCCATCAATTGTTATGAAAATTCAAAGTACATTCATTTTTTCATTCAGTTAGAAAAGCTAAATTTTGTAGATGTAAGCCTAAAAATGCATATTGCCACAAAAGTAATGTACTGTAATGTATTTTATTATTAAATTGATAAACAGCCCTAAAACTTGTGAAAGCAATTTAAGTGTGGAATAAGTTTCAGTTTATCACAACAAATATAACAAAATCTCTCTATTATATATTACATTTCATTAATATACAATTTGAAATAATACAATAATAATTTTGATTTTTACTTAAAATTGTTTTTGTATAAAAGGTTTGAATGCAATGCATGCTTATTTTATTAATTTTGTTGGTATGTAATATAGACTATTCTGGAATGAAATTGTTATTTATCATAGTCTTAATCATTTTTATTTTTTAATAATAATATTTAAAAACTTACCTTCTTGGCAACATATGTATTGTCCATTGCTCTAACAATAAGTAAGATATATCTGAAACTGATGAATTATCAATAGTTTGATTACTAGAAGAATTTGAACAACATTCTGGATATAGCAAAACTTCAATTGACATTGGAATTCTGTTTTTCCATAAAAGTAACATATGTTTCAATATGACATCATGACGTTGACACTGTAACAAAATTTCAAAATTAAATAAATTTAAAATGATTTAATTTTAACTATTTATGAACTAGGAAATTAATTTGTTTGGATTCAATTCTAAAATTTTCTCAAAATTTACAGTTAAATCCAAACAAAAACTTCATAAATTGGGTAAAATGTTTAACTTATATTTCTATACAGTTAAGATTACAAAATTCAATAGATTTTCACTTTAAAAATATAATCATCTAAAAATTATTAGTTAATTATTAATTACTTATTAGTTATACCTCAAGGCCCAATTATTAGCTTAAAGCCAAATGAATGCAGGATTATATTGAGCTATATTAAAGCTACTATTAATTATTAAATGTTATTAACACTTACTTCTAGGCCAAATTACTTAATATTTAATTCTTAATAGTAGCATTAATATAGCCATATATAATCTGGCAATCAGGGTCTTTAAACTAATAATAAAATTTTTAGATGTTTATTTATTTGTGTATATATATATACACAATGCCAGGGTAAAGCAATAGCAAGCTAAGTGCCAAACTGAGTTATAGGCTGTGTGCACTGAGTCATCTTCAGTCGGCATTGAGTAACCACTATGGTTATATTTAAATAGTTCTGGAAGCAAAGATCAGGGCCGTGTTCAGTAACGCATAACACCTAAGTTAGAATTCTGAGTGACTTAGTGGGTGGAGCTAAGAATACATAAAAGAAGCTAGTGGTGGAAGAAGTCAAGCAGTAGTTAGAAACGAGTTCAGCATTGCAGCATAACTAGACTTAGCAAGAATTCTGCGTTACTAAACACGGCCCAGATAGAAGTCTTGGCTGATGTAACTGGCAACAAGACCACACAATATGTAAGAGTTGCATATTCAAGTTCCACTTCAGGCCAATTCTTTACTCCAGGACCTTTTGAATTAATTATGAAAATATTAATTTAATTATAATTATTAAATTTATCAAGAGATGTCATCTAATACCTATCTCTAAGTCAAATTACTTAACTTTTAATTATTAATAATAGCATTAATATAGCCTGATATAATCAAGCAATCATTTCGCTTTAGACTAACTTTTTCTTCAATAATAATAAATCACAAATATCTTCATTTTAATTTAGATTTACGAAGCATCTTAAAAAATTTAGTGTAATCCAATCTGATAGCATTGAAATATACAATCCCACACCATAATTAAGCAATTTGTTAGTAAAGTACTCATAGAATATGTTCAATAAAATCTGTAAATAGTCTAATAAATTTGAGTAAAAAAAAGCTGGCAACATTGTTGAACTTTCCCAGCATTATTTGTTTTCATTCCTAATAACTGTTACAATTACCTTTAGATATTTCAGTTTAATTTCAATGAAAATTATCATTAACAAAACAAATTCAAAGAATTTCATGTAAAAAAAAAACAAAAAAATGTATTTTTACCCCTGACCTAGTTGGATGTTGGGTAAATTCCAATATCAATTTCTTAAAACTATATTAACATATTGAAAAGTGAGAATTCAATTGATTCATTCTATCAAAAGTAATAAACATCAAATAATATTAATATTGGGAAATCAGGTGATTTTAGAAAATTTTTTTTAAGCAAATATATTTAATTTTTTGGTAAAATAAAAATCTGTACAAGAAAAAAACAATTTCATAACTTGGAAGCTTTGAGAGATATTAAGGGGTGGGGCCATCTCCCCTGAATCAATGGTCTGTTTTTTGTGAAAATTTCTAAAAGTATTTCCCCATAATACATAAACTTCCCTGCAAAATTTCATAAATTCGACAAAAGGAATTATTAAGCATCAAAATGGGCAAAAAAATATCATGCTCCTCATATATACAGGACAAAAGCCCCTAGATTCTTTTGCATTTTGTCATTCCAAGATCAAAGTACAAAAATGTAAAAATCTTGGGGAGTCATTTTTTGATTGAACATCATACTTTCCCTCTGTTATGTAATAGTCAGGAAAGTAAAATAAGAAAAATCTAAACTTAAATCTAAATCATCAACTACTAAGAATAACTTCTTAAATAAATAAATAAATAAATATATATATATATATAATTTGTGTGTGTGTATGTATATATGACAATGTTCTGATAATAAATTTTGCTTGAAAGAAAAAAAGAAATTACTTTTATACCCATTACATTCATATATTTTTCCTAATAAGGCATGAGAAGTCAATATTGAACATATAATTAAACTAACTCAGTATGCTTAAAACTCACCTAATTATGGGAAAGTAGTAGTAATAAAATACTGGACCAAATATCCCAATACAAAAAACAAAACTACAAAAATCTGACTATTTTTGGAACTGGCTAGTTTTGAATTTGGTGGAATTTTTTGGAGTAAAACTGTAGTTCACATTGTGGTCACTTAGTTTTGTTTACCATGGCATACATACACATATGATGCCAGCTCCAGTGCAAATTAAATTATTATTTTTCAATTATTTGAACAACTAAATAATGAAAGTTTCAACTTGCTAACTTTTGAATTAGTAAAATATAAAAGCCAAATGACTGCAGGATTAAATTGGGCTACTTCACTGCTATTATTTTAATTAAAATCTAAATAATTTGATACCAGAGTTAAATACATAATTTTTGTAAAGTTTGATATGAGAAAAGTATTATCTATTTTCTTCTTAACATTCATAAGTCATTGTTCCAACTGAATTCAAACATTTGACATATCTAACAATATTTCAGAATAACATGAAGTTCAAAAATGTATCTTTTGAAATATTGTTTGATACATCAATCGTTGTTTGAATTCAGTGGAACAGTGACTTAATACATTATGTAGCTATCCTAAAACAGGACAAATGTTCCTTTGTAAAAAATTTAAACAGTTGGCTACGTGAAAGCAAGCATTTTATAAAGACATTAATATGGAACAGAAAACACACAAGGTAATATTTAACATTAAATTATTTATAAAGATAGAATTTCAATAAATTTAACACACACACCACTCCACAGTGGAATATATGTACAACAGACACAGAACCAACTTCCAATGCATATAATGCAAACACAAAATGGTTACCCAATGAAATGTTAATGTTCCATCAGGTAACCATTCAGTCGCACCTGAAGAACAACTCTGAAGGTGTTGGAAAACATTTGTGCAGTGTTCATTTTTTATATTATATGCACTGGAAGTTGATTCTGTGTTTGTTGTTCAATAAATTTATTTTGTTAATATCAGAGTACCAGATAATTTATGTTAAAAATGTATCTTAATTTTCTGTTTAGATACTTTTTACTCAAACTATTATGGCATAGTGAAAAACTTATATAGAAAATGAATTTAGACTGTTTATGAAAACATAGAAGTTTGGTATTTTGAAGCCATATTGAGGCATGAGAATTTCAATTATTTCCAATAGAGACTTCATGTTTTGAAATTCTTATGACTTAATTTACTAATAATGAATATTTGTGGAAAACAATAAAAAGGAAGGCATTTTTATGATCAAAAGAAATTAACCAGATTTATTATATAATGACTGTTTTCAAACATTTTATTATTGATTTGAGATTGTAAACTATCATTGATAAACTATAATGATTTAAAAACTAATAATAAAGCTGAACCTTTCAGAGAAGTCAACAATTTTTATTTATAACAAATATGCTTTCAAACTATATTGAGTTCAGCTTCAGAACAAACAGCTAAAGTTGGAAAAAGTAATTATTCCTAAACTCAAATATAATTCTAAATAACATTTGTTATAAACAAATTTATAAGAAAATTTATCATCAGTTAAAAAAATAACAAATCTAAATGTGTTTTAAAATAGCCATAAAAATAAAAAACTTTTTAATGTTCTGTGTGAGCTTTCAGGATTTTCTGTCAACTTTAAAATTTGTATCATTCTATATGATTTTAGAAAATTCTTCTTACTTTTGAAATATAAATATACAAATCAAAACCAAAAAACACAAAAATAAAACAAAATAACTAGCTCAAACATAACTATCATTAACAGAAATATATAACTAATGACCTAAGTTGTGTATATGCCACAAGAAAAAACTTATAATTATGCACAATTGGTTATAATCAATAAATATGACAACAGTGTCTGGTATTCTTTCTGTAGGTTCTTTATCATCATAGTTTGTCACCAGGTGACATATAGAATATGCAAAAAGTATAAGAAAATGCAATGGCTTCTCAAATATCAAAATAACCAACTACCAAGCAATTAAGGCTGCCTCAAACATATGTTGGAACAATCTCTCCCTGCCACCCTGCCTGCTAGAAGCTGTTAAATATGGTCTCAAATATGTGCCACAGCCTAAAGCACAATTTAAATGGCCATCCTGGACATTGAACAAGAGCATGCAGACAAGTCTAACAATATCTGATCAATTGAGATATTCTGTCAATTGATAAGTCACAAAAGGACAGTTATACTAGCATGGTCTTCATACAATGAGCTATTACCAGATTGCATCAAGATGATACAATGCATAGCAACAACTCCACAGTTATTTGCCTCAATCTAAACAATTCACATCTACAGTTCTAGCTCAAAACTCAAAATGGAAAAAAGCAATGGTCTCAAGGCTTAACGTATTGGGTTTCAATGGTTGTGTATATTTATGTCTCAAGGCTTTTTGGGTTTGCAAAAATCCACAAACCAGAGGAGCATAAGACAAGTAGTAGACAACTACAATCACTCTGGAACATACACAACATTTATCAATAACCATCTGCCAGTTATGTAATGCTGTATTCAGCATTATGCAACCTTTAAAGCTCATCCAGAAATTCCAGCAATTAAAGATATATGATGAAGAATGCATTACAGTACAGTACATAACTTCTAAGCAATGTATCCTATCAGATTAGAGCCCTGTTTCTGCCATCTAAGGGATGGATTTTCTACTGAGAAGCTAAGCAGTTTGACAAAATTACATGCCATCTTACTTTTGAATTTGTAAAATATGTATTCTTCATTACAAATTCTATACACAAAGTTTTAATGTACGATTTGGTTTGACTGACGATCATTTAAAATTACATAAACTGTTACAGTGCGTGCTCTATAACAGTTTTCTGTTACATAAAAACTGTTTTATAAAACTGTTGTCGGAAATTTAATAAATATTGTCAAAACTGGAATTGTGACAATAAGTAGTTCTATTGATTTAAAAATCTGGATTATCTATATACAAGGATAAAAACAAAATCTGTATTCTCCAAAATTCTAAGTGAATCATAACATTCACTATTAAGACTATTTTTATTTTCTCAACAGAACACCTGAAAATAAACACCTGAAAACTTAAGCACTCAAAACATTCTGTTCTCCACAAAGTGGTTCAAGTGCACAAAACTTTATGAAGACTTACTATTGATTAACAAAAGTTTAACTATGTTTTTCAATATTACTAAATGTTTTGGTAACATTTTAGTAATATTGAAAAACATAGTTAAACTTTTGTTTAACTATGTTAAACAAAAGTTTAACTATGAAATTTTACTAAATGTTTTGGTAACATTTTAGTAAAATTTCAACATATCATTGAGGAAAGACAAATAAGCAATATTTTCTGCTTTGTGCAATAAGATTGTAGAGTAAATTTTTATTATAGTATTTTTTAATATAAATTATTTTGCATAATTATATAAACTATTAAAATGTCAATATAAAATTCAGATTTAATACAAAAACTACAAGAATCTTACAGATGAAATTTGAATACATATTTCCAGAGTATAACTTAGTGTAATTTCACTGATGTATGGTATTAATTTAATAATTGTAATAATAGGAATTACAAGATATCAGTATAACAAATTACAGTAACTAAAATGTCTGGGGAAAAAAAATGAAACGTTTTCAGGAATTTTTTTCTATATATTAGTTAATATCTTATTTTGAACTTAAACTACAATAGATTTAGATAAATAATCGGGCTATAACTCCGCAAACTAAGACGATCATTTAGTTATGTTTTTAGACAGTTCCTGTGTAAAACTTGATTTTCCTGTTTGGACAAAATTTTCTTTTGTATTTTTACTTTTTTCCTCAAATATCATTTACTTTGTTGAACTTTATGAATACACAAATAATAATAATTGCCTACATTCATTTAAGTTTTTTGATTCTCTGGCATTGATGTCAAAATTATATTAAAAATAAAACTGGTTTTGAATTTAGCTTCTACTTATTACATGCATTAGTTTCCATAATTTAATTTATTAATCACTTCTCTGCAAATTTAAAAAAAGTTTTATATTTACATTTAATAAACTTATGAAAAAGCAAAATAATTCATTTAGTATAGTAGACTTATAAAACTTAATTATGAAAAATGAAAATGTTTTTAATATTTAGATTTTATGATTAAAAATCAGATAATTCAAAAAGTCAATTTAGACTTTTTATAAATTATTGTTAAATTTGGAACTATAAAATATTAAAAACTGTTCTTGTAACTTCCGAAAACAATATTCTACACTTTCAATCTTAAATTTATAGAATTAACCGAAATTTGTCTAACTATTGAGTAAAATTAATTTCTGTGGCAATAGCAAGTACAATGCAATAAATATCAATGTAATATCAAGTGTTATGACAGACTAAGATCAAAACAATCACAATAGTAACTATGCCATCCATATATTGTACATATGCTTTTAAGACTTTGTGAAAGACATGTTTAAAATGGCTGCTTTCTGGAGTGTGATGTAGGTGTTATTGTTAAGGCCTAAATGTTTCCAAACTTTTGAGTAGTGTATATGGTATGACACTTGTGCAAGAAAGGAACTACTGACACAACAAGTATCCCCATTCAGCCCTATCATTGGGAAAAGGATCCTATTTGTTATCCACAGGCACTCAAAGTAATTTTTTTTAGTTAATTTGTATATTGAGTGTTTGGATAAAAACACTCAATATACAAATATATTGTTAATAACACAATATATTTTGTTGTCAATGAATGTGTAATCTGGTATGTTGTGATAGATCACTTTTGTCTGATTATAGCTTAATCATTACAATATTTTGTATGGTTTCTATGACCATCCACAGTGTAGTTTCCTGGTGTGTAACTGTTTATGAGCAAACTTTTCATATTCTGTATTTGTTATATATTTATGTTGAAGTAAGAAGTAAATATGTGATAAAAGCTTGCAACCTGAATTAGTGATATGGCATTTCTTTCATGTATCATTTAAATGTATCTTAAAATATGCTTTCTGTAGTTTTTTGTATTTATGGCTTAGTCTTGTATGATTAGATGTGATCATACAGAAAGATGGTAAACTAAAATAAATGTTAAGTATAATCTGGTTTTATGTTGCAATTCTTGAACTCTTCCATCTGTCCAAAAAGGCATCCTGAGCAAGCCAGCAGTCTAATGCAGTAGTCTGTTAACATGACATGTATTAATATTGTTGTAACACCTTTTGTTCAGTTTTATTAATTTTTTTTTTACGATGAGATAAAGCTGATGCAAATAGACTGATGCAAAGAATACAATGTTTCTTAACTATAATTATAATGTTATCTAGATTAAAAAAGATCTGATTAACAAGAAAAACATTTTTTGTAAAGTTTCCTTATTCACAAATTGCATTTTAGCATTTTAATTCCTTTTTGTAGAATTTGTATTGCTAATCTATTACTCACCTTAATTTATGCTGCATATACATGTAATAATCATATAAAATAAATTTATATTGTTTAAACTATTAGTTTAACAGAGTCTTATTTGCTCACTGTAATACAAGCATCCCTTGTACAACATGGTACAACACAGTTTCACTCTAACATGATTTTGGAAATCTTCCATACAAAATTTCACAATTTTTAAGTGTAAACTCCATCATTTGATTTTTTTTATTCAAGTAAGCACAAGTGTTGTCTCAAATTTGCTCATAATTTTTAGAATATTGAAATTTTCAATTTATTTTGTGCTTTTCATCAGATTTACTTTAATGAAAACTAGTAGTGCAATTTTTTCTTTCTTGTCCTAGGTTTCCTAGCAACCAGGTGTCATTGGTGTTGCTTTCAGACTTTAGTCTTTAAGACTCACTGTTTTGTTTTTATAGCTTAATCTTCATATGTAGTAAAGTTTATTTAAACATTTTTATGTAAGTGTTATTAAAAACTTTATTTTAACTGTAGCATTATGTCATTTGTAAAAATGATGAATGAAATACAATAGTATCTTGGTAATCGAACAAAAGTTCTGGGGGAAATCATTAAAATAATGTTTGTTCAGTTGAGTACTGAGTTAAGTATTGATTGGAAATGCAGTATAGACTGCCTTAATAAACATATTTCTCTTAGCAAATTGTTTTTTTCTGTCATTAACTTCTAGAACCTAATCCTATGTTTTGCATTACTCCTTTGTTTCATATAGCACAGATTCACATAACAGCACTTTTTCAGAATGTATCTACCATGTTATATGAGGGATACCTGTATATGAATCAAATGTTCAAAAATAATTTCCTCTAATATAAAAAATTACAAGTATTAGAGAAATCAACACTTTTAAATATTTTTCAATAAACTTATAATTTTGTTTATCAAAATAACATTTCACTGAAAAATTTCTCTCAATAATTAAATTATGAAAGAATTTGATTTAATTAGTTATGAATTTCATCAAATATTACTTTGTTTTTCCCAAAAATCAGTTAAATTATTTGTATATCACAGCCCATATAATTCAGTGTATAAATATAACACTGAATTATATGGGCAAAAAATTACTTAAAATATATTATTTACAGTGCATATTTCTTAAGAGATTAAATAATGTNATAAGAAAAAAAAAAAAAAAAGCGGATACGGACAGGTAATTGGGAGCTAAAAAGGTCGACGCCCTTCCTACCATCTGGTAAGTCCTCAAAAAAAATCATAATATCATAGTGCACTGACCATTTGCTCAATCACGTGAAATACTAACAAGTATTCTGACGTCACGCGGTGACTATTTAACTTAACTATTATGTAATAGATTGTTTTTTGCAATTTGCTTTAAAATAAAATTTGAATTATAAGAAAAATTTTTAATGTTTATATGTATAAAACATTAAATAATAATAATTACTGTTATTAAATATTTAAATGTTTTTGAAAAAGATTAATATTTTTGTGAAAACTGTTCTTTTATCAAATTTAGATGGAAAATAAAATTAGGAAAATTTTCAAAAGAAGGAATGACTCAATCTGTTGTTAGTTCTGCACTTACTTCAGGGGAAGTGAGGTCACATTGATGTCTGTTCTGACCCTGAACTGGTAAGCAATGGGGACCTTCTCCAAAACCTCTCTCTGTTAGTCCTGGAATTCTCCCTTCAATAATCAATGTTCCCAAATCTGTATACAAGTCACATGGATCGAGCTCAACTTCTTCAGCAACATCTGCATGCATTTCTAATAGTTTAAAACAATATGTAAATTTATATACATGGTAAAATATTTTTTTAGTTTATTAAACTACTTATGTTTAATAAATTAAGACAGTATGTTTAACTTACTGTCTTAAAATATATTTTAAATGCTTGATTATAAAATATTTTACAACCTTAATTCTACAATACACAATTTTCTTTATGAAAGTTTGATACAGTCATTTCAAAAAGCAAAACAAGTGTAACATAAAAGATTTATTAAAATTTCTATTTTTAGCTATATTAAAAACTTAAAAGAATTTAGACCTATATTTGAAATAAGGTCATCTTTTTTGAAAAAACATAGTAGTCATATAGCACAGTGACATAGTCCAATAAATGCCTTTATTGTTTTAATTTTGATAAGTTTTTAAGATATTAATTTTGAAGTAATTAAAATATTTTGCTGCTGCTTTAAGTTCTTAAAATTTATAATTCTTTATTTCAGTGTAAAAGAAAATTATAATCATTTTATTGAAATCAACTATTATTAATTTCAATGAAATTATAATATAGAAATTGCATAATCACTTGATATAGAATAATAGATTTTAAAAATAATTTTAAAACATTTGAATTAGCCAAACAATTTAAATGCATTTACTGTATTATAATTTGTAATCACTGCTTTACAGCATTTTTAACTGAACTGAATTTTAAAAAACATTTTAAAGAAAAGAATAAGGTCATTTCATAAAAAGCAAGTATGCTACATGGAGATATAGTTCAATAAATATCTGTGCCATAAAATTTCTTTACACTGTTCATAATTCTCCACTGGTTGAAAGTACTATTAGACAGTAAGGTTACTGACAGTTAATTCAATTTAATTGAAACATCATAATCTATTTTATAATATTTTACATAATAAAACAATTTTGTAAGAATCTTTTATTACACAATTCGTAGTAATGTTATTAAACAATATTAATTTCTTCACTTTAATAGATATTTTTTCAAGGATAATTCAAAGAGACATTAAAGATTGTAGCATTGTTAAAAATGTTAAATACATTTTGTGTGTAACTTCTTAAAAAGTCATTTTATATTTGAAAAATAATGTTTTCAACTTATGAATTAAATAAGAATATTTAGAGATTGTTCTTATGTAAAGTTTTTAAATATTCATTTAAATACAACTCTTAAGTTGTCTGTCACTGACCCAGCTTTTTTTCTATACAATGTTTTCTATTTTTACTTCCTGTATAAATAACTTGTTTTCTTTTGTTTACAATTATTATATGTATTAGTAGCAATTGAGTTTATGTTAAGTTAATATAGAATCTATAACAGTTTCATTTTTAGTTTCTGAACTAAATATAAATACATAAAAATGGGTTTGGGTTCATTTTTAATCAATTTTTTTTACATAAAATTTTACTGTTGTTCAATAACTTATAAAAAAATAATTTATAAAGAAAACTATTTTTACATACCGTATCACAAATATTTTATGTATAAATAATAATATGAAAGTACTCCTAATAGTAAACCATTTTAAGTCAATTTAAAGTCAATTTAAAACAATTTTTATTATAACAATACTAATATTGAAAAACAGATTTAATAACTCAAAATTTGTATTTTGATATCAGGTATGAATTTTAATGCTCAAAACGATTATTTTAACAGTTTAATTATAAGGATAATCTTTTGAAGTGTGCCATTGACAATAAACTCGGATTAAACTATATGTTTCTTAGGTCAACAGGAAAACTGATCTAATATAAACGTAGATTTTAAAAAGTTGCCAAAAGAAAATCCAGGAGGACGCTAACCCCGTGTGCCAAGGTCATTTGCCGACCATAAGAAAAAAAAAAAAAAAAGCGGATACGGACAGGTAATTGGGAGCTAAAAAGGTCGACGCCCTTCCTACCATCTGGTAAGTCCTCAAAAAAAAATCATAATATCATAGTGCACTGACCATTTGCTCAATCACGTGAAATACTAACAAGTATTCTGACGTCACGCGGTGACACGAGACGACATTACCGCAAACATCCGAAAAACTTTTCTCGCGAAAGGCATCGATTAATGCTTTCCTGAAAATTCATTAAGCTTGCGTATACAAATTTACTATTCCGAACATCGGTATATCACGTCAACAGTTCTTCCACGAAAAAATGATCGAGTCATTATGATCACGCGATAAACAACAGATTCTTCCTTCTATTTAAGTGTGTGTTATGCGTTATGACGACATATGAAATGTGTATGGCTCTTGTTGCTATGTCGTCATTTTAAGATGTTTCAGCAAGAGAGCCCTCCGCTTTAGTAGACAAGAGTAATCGATCAGATTCTTCAGTCTCGTAACATAGCAACCTCAAACAGGGCTCACTAATTTTCGAAGGGTGAGTTCGCAAGTAACACCACTAAAAGACGGAAATTTTTATACACTAAGACATTGTAAGAATAACTTAAAAAATATAAAATCTGTAAATCATTTTTTCAATGAACTGTTCAAGTATGACGTTATTTTTTACGAATCTAAAAGTTATCTTTAATGATGGTGGTGATGATTAGTTCATTCAATTTTGTTATTCGAAAAAGATCAATTGTGTGTATATATATATATACAGACGATCCGATCCTACCACCATGACTGAAGTTCTTAGGAAGCAAACTTGAGTGTTGCCAGGCTAGACATGAGACCCGCGGGCATAACGTGCCCCTCCCCCTCTTCCTTGCCCTGTCTGGAGTAAAGAAAGTCACCCCACATTAAAACCCGTCATAACATCTCCCAATCTCCCCTAGGGAAAAGTCCTTTGTTTTGTCTACTTCCCACGAAACAGAAATCCGTCTTATAGATGGTCAGTACATCCCCCTTGCAGACGTCTACGAGGGGTGAATGAAAGCAGAACATATGTTGGTAATGGAGTCTAGCCGACACCCCCAAGTGGCTATTCGATACGGCTCTATCGCCAAGCAGAAACAGATGCTATCGAACTACCCGAATTATTTTCTATGAAATTGATGAAAAAAAACTATTGAGAACTTTTGAATTTATGTGAACATTTTGAAATTTGTTTTCTAAACAATCACCATCATTGATCAATAAATTACGTACAAAACACAGCCTGCACAAGAAGAGCAACTTCGTTTTCTGCAACACGAAACTCAAACCATGCTCATTTATATCGCACTATTGAAAAGTTTTCACAATATGAAAAAGTAGAATTCGTGAATTTTTCCCCATTCAAAAACGGCGTGACATCACGTTAAAGCAGAGACGAGTCCGGTATTATTTTATCACAGATTTTAAAATAATTACTTTCGTTAGCATATTTTTTTGCCAGTTCGTGCAAGCAAGCTTATTCGTTGCGATATATTATACAAACATCAGTCAGGTACCACTTTTTTACGAATGAATAAAACGATAATTATAGTATCTGGGCAGTATCCTTAGATCTTTGAACCTTATCAAAAAGATTAAAGATCATTCAGATTCACATTACAGATCGAAGTGCGCGTTCGATTTTCGTTTCTACCTATTCGAGTTATTCTATATTATTTTATATATATGCCACGAATATATATTTTAAAATAACGTTTACTAAATCGCTACGATTCTTTGCCTTTGTACCGATACTTAATATTGTTGTACAGTTATGTATTAAAAAATATTCGTGTGCAAGATTTTAACGAGTGATTAATAACGGATTGTTACGTCAGATAGGAGAGAAAGGTGCCAAGTTCCAATACCGCGCAGTCTACTGTGCTTAGCGGTGCGTCCAGTCGAATCCGGAAAATTGGAACGATAGCCTAGTTAAATCAAACTACCCATGGATTTGGACTAATGATATTTCCTGTCCAATAAACTAAAGAAAACAAAATAGCCCCTAGTAATATCATGGGCGAGGTTAAAATCGTTTTATTCCATAAACTCGTTTCTGTAAATTCCGTCTTTATTGTATTTACCGGAAGAGTCGATTTAAGATAAACTGGTAACAGACGAAAAGAGCATTTAAATAATAATCATCATTTTTATAATTATGTAATTTCTAACTGTTCAAAAGTGACGTCTATTAACAGATTGTGTGCCATTATTTTATCGAAAACATTAAATAAGGCGCTGTTTATAAACATTTACATATGTACTGTACGTGAATAAGGGCTGAAAAAATTCCATGCTTCCGGTTTTTTCTTTGTTATTGAACTACTACCCAGATTTCTCTTCAATGTGCCTCCAAAAAAATCGCCACTTCGTGTACAGTGGGTGACCTAAGTTAGGTATTAAAATTAACGGAAGCATTCCAAGGACGAAATAGTAAATAGGAATGTTTCTAGTTGACACCAAGGACACCGGTTGGATAATTGGATACTCAATAATTTTATATTTGTGAATTTACTAATGTTTCCTTTCAAAAGTTTCAAATTTGTCTCCTTGAAAATAAGGTGGGGAGAAGGATAAAACCTCATCCTTTAAAACCAGTTTATTCATTTGCCCCACTGCCCTCTGACAAAATGTAGAGATTCTAAACCTTGAAACTTCTACAGTATTTCTTAACCAGAATTTTTTGTAGCAGATGAAAATTAATATTNTAACCACGTGTTACGTGCAACCAAAGAGGGGATGAAACATCTCTTATTCCTGACTTGTTGATATTAACGTCTATAGAATTACCTTTAAACAAATGGAAGAGATTTCTTTTATTGATATACTAACGATTTTTTTCGAGGAGATCGTCTCGGTCATCGACCGCAGAAGTCCCCCTTTTTCCCTTTTTACCTAATCACGAGGTTTATTAGAAAGGTGATACTGTTCTAAAACAAAAGGGGGTTTTGGACCATCACATAAAGATCTGAATCTGAATTTTCTTAAAGGAGATAATAAAAGATAAAATATTATTATTTCTTTTTTTAAACAATATTACATATTATTAAAGAGCAAACATTACTTTAGATATATAAATCTATTTCCCTCCTGAGGAAATTCAATTCGATTATAAATCTTAAATTCAAAGGAAATAATGTTCTATCCTT